TCTGCCTTAGGTACTATGTCTGGTACTGGGTAGACAATGGATAGATACTAACCAAATGATTGACATGAACAGATTTTTCACAAAATACAAGGCCAAAAAGTTACACAAAATAAAGGAAGAGAGCCAAACTTTAGCTCCAAAGGAATGAAAATTTACAGTAGGAGAACATTATTTTCTGAATAATAAGGATTATACTATAATTTGAACAAAGGTTTAAGAAAAAAAATCCTTCCAGATAGTAGTGGTACACACCTTTAATACCAGCACTAGGAAGGCAGAAGCAGGAGTTCTGTGAGTTCAAGGCCAGGCTGGTCTACAGAGTGAGTTACAGGACAGCCAAGGCTACAAAGAGAAAACCTGTCTTAAAAAGCCCACATAAAAAAAACCAAAGGTTTGGTCAAGGACTAGAAAAATGGTTCTGTGTTAAGAGCACTGCCTGTTCTTTCAGAGGACCTGGGTTTGATTCCCATCATCCATATGGTGCCTACCAATCTTTTGTAACTCCAATTCCAGACAATCCAATGTCCTCTTCTGGCTGCCACAGACCACTGCACACATGTAATACAAAGACATACATGTAGCAAAGCATCCATACACACATGATATGTAAAGATGACAGCTCACAAAGCAGTAACATGGAAAAATACTCGTGACACACTTCCCAAATGATGGTTAGATACATACAATGAGCCTATTACATCCATATAATATACATGGTTGGTATCTGTGATGGGCAAGACCAGGCCCACCACAAGCCTGAGAACACAGTTGGAAATGGAGCCTGGCTGAGGACATTGCCCAGTGACAGAGCTCTTGCCCAGTTGTGTGCAAGGCCCTTGGCTTGATTCCCAGAACTGCAACCAAAAGGAACACGGATGTATAGGAAACGTACCAGAAGTCAAGATTGTCTTTTCTCACAGAACTTAACATCTGCTGCTGAGTGTGAGTGACACTATCTTTCCCCACACAACCTAATGTCTGCAGCAGAAAGACTATTCACAACCCTGAATACCCTATAAGCCACTTCTGTAAGGCCATCACAGAGCTCTCAGAGCTCTGCCTATCACATGCATCACACTGTATATATTCTTCATAATGTTTGTTTTCTGACATGGTGCAGCGGTATGCTAACAAAGTAAGCTGACCCACAGTATGATCTTGCCTACCTTTGATTTCTGACCAGCCCTTCACAGTCTGCTTAGTTCAGTGTAAACAGAATCATGTATAAGTATTGGTATTTCTACATAAATATCAAAAAATCTATTGAAAATAAGAAAGTTGATAGTGGTCCTACAAGTCATAACGATGAATGACTTTGATGTCTACTTCTGCTTTCATTCTGTTTTTCTACTTTGATTTATAATGATCAAAATTGGTTTTGCAATTTTAACTCCCCCCCCAAAAAGTATAGGCTCATAGTTAAGCAACTGACACTGAAGGGAAATTAAAGTCATATGAACAATATAAGAAGTCATAGTGAGAGACCTTCAACTAACCTCACATTAAAACAATTTTGCCAAACGATCTCAAGTTTTCATTTAGCTTCAGTTTCAAAATGGTTCCTAGCTATTAAAAGAAAGAAGAAGAAAAAAAGAAAGAACTAAGTCAAATTCTTAAAGTCTATCACATTGCATTTGATCTTAAGTTTTATTTTTACAAAAGGAAACCGGCCATTAGGACTCAGAAAAGTTGTGAGTAGTACACCACCCATGAGACAGTTCTTTTCCCACCAAGTCAAACTTCATTCCTCAGCTTTCACAGCTAAGAATGCACAACATACTAGATGATTCTGGGAGGCAACGAGCATAGTCTACCCTGAGAGGAAATTACAGGGCAAATTATTTAGCTTCTTCAAAAAAAATTGCAGAAAAAGACAAAAAGAGAAACTTACAAATATAAATGACAGTTAAAACACATCGACTACTTCCAATTTGGGGACTTTATTACTAAGAAACTATTATCAATATTGCCAGTTGACTCTTGACTATGCATTTAATACTTTAAAGAAATTTTGTGTGATATATGCATGTGTGCATGTATAAACTTGTGCAAGCCTGTGCATATATGCAGGAGCCAGAGGAGGACATTGATTTTTCTGGTATATTATGCTTTACCTTATTCCCTTGAGACAGAGTCTCTCACTGAACCTGGAACAAGGCAGAAGACCTGGAAGCCCCCAGGGATACATACAGGCCAGGGTCACACCAAGCTTTTTACTGGCATTTGGTTACTGGGCATTTGAATTTGGATCCTCATGGTTACATAGATAGTGAAAGACTGAGCCATTTTCCTAGTCCCATTTATGCTTTTAAAAGGCTTATTAAAACCAACAGGCCCCTCATTCCAAATGTAAAACTCAATGATGTTTTAGTAATTTACCAGGGTTTGCAACCATAACTATAAATCAGTTAGGACAGTTCAGTGTCTCTGTGAGACTCCTCCTCAAGTCCACTCACTGTTAATCACCCACCAGCTATTCCAGCTAACTAACCCACTTTATACCCTCTCTGAACATTTTACCTAAGAAAATCAACCACACAGTCTCCAGTGACTGGCTCCTTTCATTTAGCATTTAGCATTGTGGGAGCACGCATTAGTAATCACCTTTCTACTCTGTATTTAACACATTTTGTCCGTTTGTTTACCAGTTATAAAGAATAATGCCCTGTGGCACCCTTGTATAGGCAGACACAAAAGCATCACTGCTGAGACATTAAGGTAAATGCACAGTTACCTTTTAAGAAAGAACTAGAACTAGGCATAACGGCACAAGTCTTTAATCCCAGCATTTTGGAGGCAGAGGTAGGCATATCTCTGTGACTTCTAGGTCAGCCTGGTTTACACAGTGAGTTCCAAGACAGCCAGAGCTCCATAGCAAGACACTGTCTCCAGAAAGAAAAAAATAATAATAACAAAAAACAAAAAACAAAAAAACACTACCAACACATAAACACACAAACAAAGAACTCAACATTTTCCAGAGAGGCAGTGCTGTCTCATAGGAAGATTCTTGTCTGTAGCTTCTACTTTTTATTTGATCTATATAATGAAATAATCAGGGTAGAGATGATCTGATGCTTGGGATCTGATTCAAGACAAACCAGTGTTCAGTGTGCCTGCATGTTTGGGGGACGGGGTAATCAGAAACTGATGAAACACGGCTGGTCATGCCTTGGGCAGTACAGCTCAGTGAGCAATAGCAGCCATTTCCTATAGTAAGTTCTCAATACAAATGGTTAGGCTTTACTCCAAGTGCTTTAGACATGCTCTATTAAACTCCACAGCAATCTGAAATGAAACTACTGCTACTATCCCTCTTGTAGAGATGACAAAACAGAGCCCCTAAAGCTGCAGCAATGGAACCAAGTCCAGACTAGCAGGAAAACAGTGGCTTTCAGAGCCTATGATTTCAATCATGCAGCTTAACTCAGCAACAAGCAAACATTTTCCCCAAGGTAGGAACAAAGATACAATAGTAGCATACTATGGATGATTTTTCTTTTCTTTAACTGTGTCTCTCCTAATACACAGCACTGTTCAAGATCAGTTGTATCACAAATCAATCATCACACACATCAGAAAACAAATGAGTTAATGAAGTTAACTAAGTTAGCTAAGTCTCTAGCTTGATTTTTTTTTAAGGAGATTTTAAAGATGTACTGAATAGATTCTGTGTGTTAACTCAGAGGTGAGAAACTGTATTCTATTAAAGTCTGGAAATAAGAAAGAGCATGGCTAGGATGACAACATCACCACTGCAGGAACTTCGCTCCCTTAGCTGTGAAGTTTTGAAGACATACAGTTGATGTGGGAGAACCCACAACCATTGCAACAAATAACTTCTACTGGCTGATTAAAAACTAAAGGCCTGATGAAAAGTGCCAAATCTTCAAATGTACCCCAGAGTTCGCCAACTTCAAAACTCTTTTATTAACTGAACAGTAGAGAAAGCAAAGCAATCCTACCAGTGATATTAGAAGGTAATTACATTATAGAGGATCCGTAACTGCATCTAACCGAAGGTATGTTCTGTGCTCATGATATTCTCTTGTGTTTAATCACAATCAAATTTCATTTTAATGATACTTCTTTAAGAGCTTACCAATGAGCTAGGCCAAGTCAAACAGAAGATAGCCTAGTTTTAGCTCAGAATGTTTTGTTATATTTCAGCCTGCAGAGTCTAGAATATTATCTGATAATTCACAGGAAAAGCGAGCCCGTCTCTGAATAGATTTCTGCTCACACTGAAGCTAAAACCTAAAGTGCTGTGGGCCTGTCTATACATCAGCATAACTGCTTGCCTACTGCAGGAAGGGGAGAGAGGGAAGGTTCTGAGAAGATGTGCACCAGGAGTTCACTCAGAAAGATGTGGGTTTTCAGATGTGGGGAACCCAAAGGAGAGCAGTTAGAGCAGACAGAACACACAGAGAGGTCCTAAGGGGCTCTGTAATGAGCTTCTCAAACCGGAAAGGACTACTTAGATGCTAACAACATAGGTGTTGAGAGCTGCTGAGGTCTGCTGAGAAACTCAGGACCCAGAGTAAGAGGACAGGAGACAGATCAGAATGCAGCTTCCCAAACGTCAGCCTAGTTCTTCCCACTGGACCAACTTGCCCCTCATAACAGGGCAATGCCACCTGGAAATAAGTAAGCCACTATAAGCCCCTCAGGACCTCCTCTCCTTCCCATGGTTACCAATCATTTTCCTGAAACAAGTGAGCAGAGTATATGCTGGGCTCAGAGAGGCAGAAAGGACAGATGTCCCTCTTCCCCACAAAACGCTGAGGAAGTAAAAGAATAGTAATCAAACATTATTAAAAGCTTTAGCTGTATGATGGTGCAGGACTGTAATTTCAGGACTTAAGATGCTGAGGTAGGAAGATCAATGGTTCAAGGTCAACCTGAGCTATTTCACAAAACCAAAATATAAAAAATGAAATTACTCTATGACATCCAATGGCTTTCTAGCAATAAGAAACAACAAATTTCAAATAATTTACCTGGTTCCAATTTTATCACTTTAATTGCTGCTAATTCTCCAGTGTTAACATTCCGTGCCTAAAAGAAGAAGAAAAATAATCATGAAAGAGTTGTATAAAAAGACATTTTAGTTTATTGTTTATTTCAATCACACAGAAATATTTTAAAAGCAGGAACTGCAGAACCAATCTATTTTACAGACAGTACTATGTCCTTCATAATGAATTCCAGCACTAATTTAAGTGTAAACTTAATACCAAAGTAACTGGGCACCATTCTAAATGGTTCGAAACTAATTCACTCAATTCTCACAACACTCATTAGGTTAAAAGCCAACACCATTCCCATGTAGCAAATAAGAAAAAAATAAGCAAACAGATGTGAAAAGCTGGCTTTGGTCATGCAGCTGGCCAAGTGGGAGCACTGAGATGCAAAGCAGGAAGTCTAGCCAGGCTTCACAAAGTAATTCCTTCAAGCACTCCACCGGAGCTCTTCATGCAAACTGGGGAAACTATGCAGTGGATCAGCATTAAAATCTTTAATGAGAATCTAAATGTGAAAGCAGCCCCCTTGTGTCCTTCAAATCCACATGATGCCAGTAAAATCAATGTTTTCAAAACAAGCCACTTGTGAAATATAAAAATTAATTTTAAAAAAATCAATTCATTGGGCTGGGGATGTGGCTCAGCCCAAAGCCACGGGCTCCACCCCCAATTTAGTATTAATCAGACATGGTGGTGCCCATAGCACTATAATTCACTGGTGGAGGCAGGAGAGTCAGAAGCTCAAGGTAATCCTCAGTTACTACAGAACAAGCTAAGGACAGCCTGGGCTATATGGCATCTTGTGTCAGAAGGGAGGGGGAAGGGGAAGGAAGGAAGGAAGGAAGGAAGGAAGGAAGGAAGGAAGGAAGGAAGGAAGGAAGGAAGGAAGGAAGGAAGGAAGGAAGGAAGGAAGGAAGGAAGGAAGGAAGGACGGGAGAAAAGCCAATTCATAAATTGGCTACAATGGGCATGCCTACCAACCCGACCACTCAGGAGAACTGCTATAAATTGTAGACCATCTGCACTATATCCATAGCACAACCCTGCCTCCTACCTCAAATATCAGTCAGATAATAGATTCTGGGTATTTACAACTGTTTATCTAACTAAGTAGAAACTATCTTTAAATTTGGGTTTAAAAAATGGCAGTAAATATTTACCAATTTAAGATGTTATATATAATTGGATCAAAATTCTCAAATTATATTTTAGCTGTTTACATTTAATTAATACTTACATCAGTCTAAAGAAAAAATACATGCAATTCCATGATTAAGGGAAAATCTTATATGGCCAGGATTAGATGTAGCTGCAACACTCCCTTACTGGTAGACCAGGAAAATCTGTCAATCATCTAACATGAGCCAATGACACTTAAGGAACTCTTCTAAGAGTATGAGGGCTATAAAAAATACCACCAAAGGGGCTGGAGAGATGGCCCATCGGGTCAAGCACTTGCTATGCAATGTGAGCTTCAGCTTCCCAGCACTCTGGAGACCCAGGCAGGATCCCGAAGCAAGCTAGCTAGATGAACTAGCAGGAATGGCAAGCTCTGGAGTGAGTTGGGAACCCTGCCTCAATGCACAAGATGGAGACAATTCAAGATGATTCCAGCCATCCATCCTGGGACCCTGAATACATGTGCATACATGTCCACGTGCACCTGCACATACCTGTGTCACCATATAGAAAAGCATGCATATGTGGCATACACAGACCCAACACATCCCCTCATCCCCAAACAAGCCAGCAAAGAATCCAAGAAGGTAGTAGATAAGAAGCACAGCCATCACTAAATATATAAAATTCAGATCGTCCCTTGGTAATGTGCTTCCTGCACAGGCAACAGGACCTGAGTTTGAATCCTTGGCACCTACAGGAAACCCAGGAATAGAAGCTGAGTGTAGCTTTGAGGGCCTGTAATCCCAGCATTAGGATGATCTCTCAAAAAAAAAAAAAGTGGGAAATCGATAGAAAGGCACTGATGTCAACTTCTGGCCTCAACACACAAACAGGAACACATGTGCATGTGTATCTGCACATACCCACACATGCACAAACACAAATATACATATACTACACACTACTATTACACACTACTTTTTTAGAGTCATTGTGATGGCACACACCCTTTAATACCAGTATTTCATTTGATGGAGGGAAAGGCAGGTAGGGCTCCATGAGTTCGAGGCTAGCTTGGTCAAGAGAGCTCCAGCTCAGTCAGGTTACAAAGTGAGACTCTGCCTAAAATTTAAAAACTAAAATTAAAAAGATTCTTTCTGTGGTAGTTTGGACGAGATGCCTATACCCCACTCTACCCCCACCCCCCAGCACCATAATTCTCATTTATTAAATACAGGTCCCAGTTGGTGACTTGAAAAGGATTAGGAGGGGTAACCTTACTGGAGGTGGTGTGTCATGGGGGCAGGCTTTGAGGCCCTGAATACATGTGCACACATGTCCACGTGCACCTGCACATACCTGTGTCCCCAGTGCACTTGGTTTCTCCAGCTTGTGGTAGGAGATGTGAGATCTCAGCTCTTCCTGCCATCTTGCTTTCACTCCACCATAATGTAAGTCCAGTTAAATACTTTCTTCTTTAAGTAGCATTGGTCATGGTGTTTTATCAAAGCAATAGGAAAGTAACTAATACACTCCCTATATGAATTTAAAAATTAAAACAATCTGCAGGGAAAATTTGTCTAAAAAGCCTTTCTTTAGGGGCTCAAGAGATGGTTCAGTGGTTTTGAGCACTGGATTCTTTTGCAGAGGACCTGAGTTCAGTTTCTAGCACTTCCACCAGCTATAACTCCTATTCAAGAGGACTCAATACTGTCTTCTGGCCTCTATGGGCACCAGACACACACACAGAGGCCAACATACACAGAAAGAAAATCTTTAAAATTATATAATCTCTATAACTTACAAATACAGTGCTTATTAGAGTCAGCAACAAACCAGATCTGAACACTTCAAGCCACAGCTACTTTCCCTTACATGAGACAGACTTCCCAACAACTCCGAATCAATTACTGCTTTCTCCAGATGAGATACCCCGTAAACAATGAACGCAGAACACCCCTGTGGAAGCGTCCACCTGGGGGACACCCAGGCCTCTCTCCAGCTTCCATCATAACCATTCTCAGACTACCACAACATGGTATCCCTCCCACTCTGACACCATCTCCTTTCCTTCCAGCCACGTTTTCTAAACATTTGCAAGTAAAACAAGATGCTAGACCCCACTCCCTGCATCTTAAAACTGGACCTTTTAAAGGTCTCACTTGAAGAGGAATTCAGAGTATGGGTGGCTCTATCATGGATCTGCAGACCATGTGTGGTTACAACGCATGGCTTACTGACCAGAGCTGACAATTTGCTCCCAGTGACCACAGGAGGGCACACTCCTTACTGACAAAGTCACACAAGATGGTTGCTGCACCGAAAGCACTTGGTTAAAACTGATTTACTCCGTTCTCACTAGCAGATATTCGGCGGAAGACTCGTGACAGTAAACTGCTAGTAAGCAGGTGACATAAGCCTCTATTAACTACTCTTGGACTTATTGATAACTTCAGAAAGGCAGCCAAAATTAACTGCTAGAAGGAACCAGTTCCAAACTCAGGCTTCTCTGAAGGGAATTGAATTATGGTTTTCTAGAGAGGATGAAGGCCTAGGCAGCTAAGCGTTCCTGCTCTTCCTGCTTTCTGAAGTGTTTCTCAGTGTGTAGCATATCTGGCAATACTGAGGTATTTTATTATGTGGGGGTGGAAGTGGGGCCCAAAAGAAAAGTCAGGAAACTTTCATATCTGAGCCTTTCCTCACCAGAAACCATGTTATACATGAAGGGTTTTTAAAGCACTATGATCATGTAACAGTGGTTGTAGACCTGAGACTCCAGTACTTGGGATGCTGAGGCAGTAGGACTGCCAATTTGGGCTATGTAGCAAGAGCCTACCTTTAAAATAAAATCACTTATTTGAGAATCTAGTCAGTATTATCTCTACTATTTATTCTGAATTTACTTTATTCAACTCAAGCAATTTATTTTTCAAATGGTCATGGTTAACACGGTAATATATTCACGTGTATGATCATGTTAAGCCAGTATTAACAACAGATTCCTCATACTTCTTAAAGGCAGAAACTGACAAGAACTGTTGAGAGCACCTAGCCCTGGTCTTGGCTCCATCACTGGTCAGATCACCTCTATATGCTCCCAAGGTGAGGTTGTGCCCATGAGGAATGCACGCTGTTGCTCCACTAACAGCACGTTCCCTGGCTGCTTTCACACAGAGTCCACACACATAACGTTTACCCTTCACTGCAGAATTCACTGGTGTGTGTTCACATATTTAGTTAGGGGAGCACCCCATGTTCATCACCCCTCCACCACCACCACCACAAAACAAAACAAAACAAAACTGTAGACCAATGAGCTCTCACTCCCATTCTCTGGATAGTCAGGACATCTTACTAAAAGGAGCTGAACAACAACATGTACCCCTGGTAACTGGTTTCTTTCACTCAGTATGTTTTCAGATTAACATAGGCATTGCTGCCAATAATATTCCATTGCACAGAAATACATTTTTTTTCCACTCAACAACTGAATGATGGGGTAGTCTTAATCTTTAGTGTCAATCCGACAGGACTTAGAATCCCTTAGGAGACACACTTCTGGATGTTTCCAGAGGATGAGATGAAGGAAGAAGACCCACTCTGATTGTGGGTGACATCATTCCACAAGCTGAGGCCCCAGAATGGACACAAGGGGAAGAAGAGAAAGCCAGATGCGCATTCCCTGCTGTTCTGAGGTATGACATGAGGAGCCCCAGGTCCATGCTTTCAGCACCGTGGAAGTACCTACCGCCATGCCTTCCCACCATGATGGGTCATGGCCTAGGCAACCATGGGCCAAAACAAACCTTTCCCTCCCTTACGTTGCTTCTTGTCAGGTGTTTGGTCAGAGTGACAAGAAAAGGGCCTAAAACACATGGGTTGTTTCTATATTTGTCTGTTATAAATACTATT